AAAACCTGAGATGGAAAAGCAGGGCTCCTAGGTGGTATGTTTGTGGATGTTTTAGGGTACAGCAACGATTTAGAGTTGTGGGCACTGCAGGATAGAGCTGTTACGGACCTCCTGGCTGGCACTGGGGAGGTGCGGCTTGGAATGGAGTGCTGTGAAGTTGGGGGTTGAGCAGCAAAGTGGGTGTGGCTTTGGGGCAGCAGGAATGGCCTAAAGGCCCTGGGAGGGAGTGGCACTGTGGGTCTTTGGCAGCGGCAGGGACTGTGCCTGAGGGCGGAGGTGGCACAGTTGCAGGTCGGTGGCACAGTTGCAGGTCAGAAGGGAGGTGGGGGAGGTGGGCGTGCAGAGCACGTGCTGCTCTGGGTGGAAGTGATGCCTGTGGAGGATGACGCGTTCAGCGGGGGATGGGGGAGGCAGTGGAGAGGGAGGTGGTGCCGTCACAGCTGCCGCTGGAGCCTGCGTGGGTGAGAGGCGCGTGTGACGACAGACCGTCCCCATACCCACACCGGAGGCAGGTGGGACAGACCCCAGCCCTGGCCACACTTGGAAGGCAGGTACCTCTTATTCTTCCCCCTTCTCTTTTTTTTCCTGTCCCCTCCCTTTTCTCTTTTCAATGTTCATTCATTCACTCTTAGTTATTTTATTTATTTGAATAACGGGGAGAACATGCAGATCACCCATCTGCTGGTTCACTTCTTCCCCAGCCCAAAAGCTCACAACGTCCACAGCCAGGCCAAAGCCAGAACCGGGAACTCCATCCGGGTCTCCCACAGGAATGCCGGCAGCCCAAGCCCTTTAGCCATTATGTGCTGCCTCTCAGGTGCATTAGCAAAGAGCTGGCTCTACAGCAGAGGAGGTGGCAGGGTCCGAGCCCAGACTTGCTGATACAGAATGTAGATGTCCCTCAGAGTGGCTTACCCTGCTGCACCACCATGCTATCCCACCCCCTCGTGCCTTCCTGGTTTTTAGTGCTCACTGTGCCGTATGCACGTAACTTAAGTCGAATGGGACTAAACAGCATGTCCTTCTTCCTGATACACCTCTTGTCTTCCTGGTCTCAGGGGCACAACACCCTTCACCCTTTCTGCTGCTTCTCCTGGCGATCTCACATCTCCTGTTTTTAAGGAGTGTTCATCTACGTGCTGTTGATTCACCCATGTCAATGTCCCCCATTGATTTCCTGTTTAGTAGGCATCTTGCAAAGCCAAGCTTTCCACTCCCCAGCCATCCCCCGGAGTTGTCTTTTTGATAGGCACATTGTCATAAAAAACACCTCCAGGATTCTTTTTTTTTTTTAACATCTTTTTAAAAATTTATTTATTTTTTATTATTAATTGCATTGTATTATGTGACACAGTTTTATAGGTACTGGGAGTCCCCCCCACCCCTCCTCTAACCCTCCCCCATCAGGATTCTTTTGAGTACTTGATGCACCTGTCAAGATATGCGTGTAGCGGGCAGTGGGTCCTCAGGAAGGGTAACGTTCGAGTCCCCTGACCCTGTGAGGTCATGGAGTGGGTGTGATTCTGTAAAGCTGCTTGTAATGAAGGGAGATTATCCTTGGTGATCTGGGTGGATCCAATGTAACCACCAAGGGTCCTTAGAAGTGACAGACGGGGCGTGTGTGCAGCAAGTGAGCTAGGTCACCACTTGGGAATCCGCATGCAGTGTCTACATCCCTGGCACAGATCCCAGCGACTGCACTTCTGGTCCAGCTTCCTGTGGAAGCACAGCCTAGGAGGTAGCCAGTGATGGCTCAAGTCCCTGGGCACCTGTCACTCCTCCTCAGGGCCCATCCTCCATGACAGGTGCCCACCAGGATCCAAAATGGATCAGTTTGGGGGTTTGTATGGCAGAGGATGACAGTGAGCAGTCCGGGTGTTTGTCAGGCTCCACAGCAGTAGGTGTGGGTGACGGCAGCCCTGGGCATGTAGGGAGCTTGACTCAGTCAACCTGGGTGGGAGCTGTATCCTTTGCCGCCTGGACCAGGCCATTATCACATTCTTTTTACTCTCATCCCACGACCTTCTTACCTTCTCTCCTGGGTCTTAGGACACGGCACCTGGTGAGCTGCTCTCAGGGCTGGAGCTGAGCAGGCTGAGGCCATGTTGGCTCTGGGTCTCACCAAGCCAGGAGCATCTTCTCTCAGCCTCAGTGTCCCAAGTCTCTCCCAGCACCTTTCTGTCTAATATCATCCCAGTGTGTGCGACAGTTGTCTTTCTAGTTGAGCTGCCATGAAAAAAAATAATAATAATAATTTTCACTTACTTGAAAGCAGAGTTATAGACAGAGAAGCTTCTATCTAGTGGCTCACTCCCCTAAATGGTAACACCATCCAGGGCTAAGCCAGGCCAGGCAGACCAGATGGCAACCCTGTTTAGGTCCTCCTATGTGAGTGGCAGAGGCCCATGTAATTGGGCCATCATCTGATGCCTCCTAGGTACAGTAGCAAGAAGTCGGATCAGAAGTAGAGCAACCAGAACTCGAACCCATGCACTGATATGGGATGCAGGTGTCCTAAGCAGGAGCGTTAACTGCAGCCCGTGATGCTGGCCCCCACCCATTGAGTCCGGGGAGGAACCTGGGACCCTCGGTGTAAGCAGGTAGAAGATCCTTTTCCTCTTGCCTTTTCTGCTGCGCCCTCCAGAAAGCAGGTATGAGTCTTCAACTTTGGGGCATTTCACTGCTTTCATTCAGTCTTTTGGTTGTCACACCTGCACCTTCTTCACCCTTAGTCCCAGAGAACCTGTGCTGTACCAAAGACTTACAAATTGGCCTCCACGCTCCCATCTCACACCTGGCTACCCCTGATCTGCTTCCTAGGCCCCTGAATTTTGATGGCTGAATCTTTCTTCTCCTACAGCTCAATCTTGTGAATCGATACGTTGTTAGGAAAAAATCTTGGGTGGGTGTTTGGAGCAGCTGTTAAGATGTCTGCATCCCCGTCAACGTTCCCTACTTGGAGTCCTGCCGCAGCGCCTAACTCACCTCCCTGGGAGGCAGTGGTGACGGCTCAAGGACTTGGGTACCCATGGGGGAGACCTGGATGGAGCGTCCAGTTCCTGGCTTTGACCAGGCCTGACCCCGCCATTGCGGGCATTTGGAGAAGTGAGGCAGTGAATGTCTGCATCTCTGTCTGACCCTGTGCCTCGCTGTGGCTTCTGGAAAAAGAACAGAAAGCAGCATGTGAAAAGGTAGAAAAGACTCTTCTCCTGGGTTGAGTTCAGAGGGCTGTGGGATTTGGTATGTGCTTTCGGAAACCTGCAATCCTGGGGAGATGTGGGCCCCTAAGAGTGGCTGTGAGCAGCTTCACCAAGAGCCTGATCCCATAGCTTAAGAGTCAGACCTGACGTAAAGCCCTAACCCACTGCAGCCTCAAGTTCAACCCTGAACAGGGACTGCCAGAGGAGGTGGTGGCTCAGCCCTGAGCCCAGGTCTAGGGTCCTGTGAAAGGTCACCAGTGCCCTCAGCCCCCTTCCTCCCTTGCCCAGGGACTTGGGAGCAAATGCTGAGGGCGTGGGAAAAGAGGTGCCTGTTACCTGGGCTTGCTGCAACTCAGCAGAAGTTGGGGGTGCCCTGCAGGCTGTCTTGAGGTGAACTTATGGGCCCTTCCTGTCCTGGCCCCCAGCAGCTTCTTCCTGCTACTCCCTGCGGGCAGGGCCTGGCTTGGGCACCCACCTCTTTCCCCCCCCACCAAACAGGTGTCCCTCCCCCTACCTGCACAGGGGCAGGGGCTGCCATTCCCCCTCCCCCTACTGGATCCCCTCAACCCCAGAACCAAGCCTGTGCCATTTCCCAGTTCCTGGTTTTCCAGGGAGCCCTGGCTGGAGGGGGATGGGAGGAGAAGCCCAAGAGGGAGGGGAGCCGGGGGAAGCAGAACGGGAACTGGAAGGGGAAGGGCGTGGGTGGCCCTGATCCAGCTTGCCTCCCACTTTCTCGCTGCTGCCAAGCCCCTCCCGGGCAGGCCTGGCTCACTCAAGGCAGGGACTTGGCCGCTGGCTCTCCCTAAGTGGGGGTGGGGAAGCTACGTGGTATCTGGGGTCCCGGTGAAGGAAGTTCAGGCAGCAGCACCCTCCTCCATACCCAGCTGTGGCCTGCCGCCCTGGCTTGGTGATTTTGTTGACTTCAGGAAAAGAAGCAGAGCGCCCCTCTGCTATGACCCCGCCCCCCCCCAAGTTTTGGCAGTGTGTATTCAGAATGTCCCCTTTGCAGCCCACCAGCTGCAAAGGCAAAGGGGGCTGGGTTCAGCAGACAGGCAGGCAGTGGAAGAGTGAGCTTCCCCTCCCTGGGTCTGGCTGTGGCCTTGACCTTGGCCTCTTACTCCTGGCAGGGCAGGCCCCTGGAGACCCCAGCACACCAGGCCCTCCACCTCCCACCCCAGACTGGCTGCTGTGGCCTGAGTTCAGACCTCAGCTTGCTGTGGGCCCCGGCACTGGTCCCGAAGTGAGGAGACATTCATTTCACTACATCCTGTGACTGCCACTTATTTCCTCCACGTGGTGCCGACAGTGTGGGGGTGGGGGTCGGATGAGGACACATTAGAAAGAAAATGTGAGGCAGGATGGCAGGGTGGAGGGGACTGGGCCCCAGGTGGGGGTGGGGAGGGTCTGAGGGAGGCTGGGGCTGGCTGGGGTAGGAGGGAAGGTCCCGGAAGCTTTCCGCTTTCCGAGGGAGCGGTGAGAAGGGAGGGGTGGCAGGAGGCCACTGAAGTTCCACAAGTGGCACCCAGCGTGCCTGGCAACACAGGCGGCGGCCGTGAGCCTGCTGTGGACTCAGGGCTGTCTGCCAGAGTCGGCCCTGGGGAGCCTACCAGTGCTGCGCTGACCCAATCTACCCCAGCTTCCCCAATCCCTGGGGTGCCAGTGTGGCTGGGAGAAGGGGTGAGGGCAGAGGCGGCAGGCCTCGTGAGCCAGGCATAGCCCTAGGGGCTGGAGGCTGGGTGGGAGCCCAGAGGGGGGAGGGTAGGTACCCTGCCCTACTCATCCTCCTCCTTTCTCGCACAGGTGAGCCTTCAGAAGCCCAAAGCTACAGAAAGACCAAGGCAGTACTCACACCAGCGTCCCGCACCAAGATCTATGTTCGCACTTTAACCTTCGCCTGCCAAGACCACGGTAGCTCCTTCCTTGAAACCCCCCAGCCCCACGCGCCCCAAGCCTGCCTCCCGCGCCCCAGCTGCCTGCCATGCCCTCCAGCGGCCCCGGGGACACCAGGAGCTCTGCTCCGGAGAGGGAGGAGGACCGCAAGGTGAGCTCCTGTCGGGGCCCCAGGCCCCAAACCATGACAGCTCCACACACTGGGCACTGAGTGTCCTCCCTCTGTCTTGATGTTGGTGACAAAGAAACTGAGGCTAGGAGAAGTTACACATGGGTGTTGTTGAGGCCACCTGCCCTGGGTTTCGACTACCGCAGGCCCCCAGCACACCTGTGTCTAGGTTCAATGTTTTTTGCTGCATTGCACTGGCCGTCTTTTTTAAGCTGCCACTAAGTGTTGGAAAACTTCCACTGAAGGCAAGTGTGTGGACATGAGGGATGCTATGGACAGGAGGTGGCGTGAAAGTTATCCCCGCCCCCCGCATCCCTATCCTGGGCTCTAAGTGGTGTAACATCACCTGGTCATCCTTTATGTGGCTTCTGGCTTGGGAGCTGTTTTCAGAGGCATGACCTCTGCCACTCACAGGGGCTTTCAGCACACAGGTAGGGAGCCCTACTGTCTGCCTTGGGACCCTAGCAGGCCTGGTACACCCCTAGACAGACTACCCCTGCCAGAAGCCCCCAGGCCTCAGACTCAGCCCCCATCCTTGTGAGCAGATGGTGTGACAGTGGCGGCTGTGGTTCCCCTGGTATGTATAGCTGCTGTATCCTGGTTCCCATAACTCCTCCCTCTGCCTGCTTGGGTAAGGGATGGTGATGCTGGGAAGGGTCTGGTAGCCACAGGGCAAGTTCATCAAAGTTGCAGCGTACTGGACCAGGGTTGTTGGAGAGGTGATGGGGGGAAACTTGGCACCGGGTGTAGGGCTCCTGAACTTTTAGGGCCTGGTACATCCCGCAGCTCTGCTGGCTGTCTCTTGGTCCAGTGGTGAGCACTCTTCATGCATGCTTAATCCCTTAGAGGCATTCTTAGAGGCTGTTCCCTTGTGGTGAGCACTTCCCACCTCTTGTTTCATTTGTCTTTGGGGACAGCCCTTGGAACAAGAAGGACAAGAGCTATAGATACAAACCCTAAGCCCAGCTTGTCAGCAGTGGGTTTGGACCAGAGCCTTTCTTCTGCCTATAGCTGGGTCCTTCCCATGATTCTGTACACACACACACACACACACACACACACACACACACACAGGCATGCCCGTGAAGCCTGCAGCCCTGCAGCCATGGAACCAGGGTTTCCTCAGTTGCCTGTGCACTCCAGCTGGTTCCCTGCCCTCCCTGGGCTTGGCTGTGTTTCCTTCTTTAGTGACCCTGAGCCTCCCCCTACCTGGGTCAGATGTCTGGACAAGCCCTTGATCCAGATACTTGGTAAACCCCTCCCCTGTCAGATAATGAGCAGCAAACCGGGCCCCTCCATAGTGAGGTTGTTCAGGCTGGAGGTGCAAGCTGGGCAAGGTGCCACAAGAACCAGGGCCCAGGCCTGAGGATGCCGCTCACTGGAGATGTGACTCTGGGCCATCTGGGCTTGTGTTTGCTCAGCTGGAAAACGGGGCTAGAAGAAACTCTAGCCTTGCCCGTTTTATGGGGCGGTTGTGGAAGTCAGATGAGGTCACGGGCATGGAAGTGCCCTGCAGACAGCAAAGTCTGGTCCAATTATGAAGGATTACGACTGCTATTATTATCTACCCATAGTAACTGCCCTGGCTCAAGTGGCAACAAACACACACACCCAGGCGCAGATCCCCAGGCCAATAGAGCAAGTGCGCGTGCGAGCAGGCATTCACTCTTGCCAAGAGAGTAGACTAGGGCCGGGGCATGGCCGGGCCTCCTCCCCAGCCGCCCACACCCACACCATGCATGCCATCTCACCTGGCACACCTCCCTGGCAACTCTGGGCTGGCTCCATCAGCACCAGGGAACTGCCCAGGGAGGGCGGGCAGAGGCCTGGCTGTCGCTGCTGGTGGAAACCAGGCCCCAGGGCAGCTGCAGGGAGAGTGGGGGAAGGCACAGGCTTGGTCTGCAGCCCACAGAGTGTGTCAGAGGCACCGGGCACAAAGGAACTGTTCGGTGAGCCAGAGGGAAGAGGTGTGGCCGCCAACTGGCCCCACGTGCTCTCTTCCTCTCAGCAGCCACGCCCCCATGCACCTTTCACTCCAGCACTTCCTGGAGCCACTGGGCCTTTGTTTGTTCTCCTCTGTCTGCTGGGCCCTCTCCCTGAGTTGTCTCTTCTCTAACCACCTTGCGTCAGTGGGCAGGTGGTGCCGTGGTTCCCATACAGCAACTGCACTGGGGGAGGCGTTTGAGACCCAGAGGCTGGACCTGCTGGGGAGGAAGTGAGGGGTGGGGTGGGGGGGCCTGGGCCCTGTAGTAGCCCAGAGCAGGTGCTCCAGAAGTGTTCTGTGGAGAGGATGGACAGGAAGGCGAGAGCCAGAAAAAGGGGCCTGGAGTTCAGGGGTCAGGCAGGAGGGATTCAGAGCTTAGGGTTAAAGCAACCATGCTCATGACCATGGTGTGTGTGGGAAGAGGCTCACGGGCATGTGCACCCCACACAGACATCAACAGCCATATGGTAGCAAGGTGGGACCTTCTCAGAGAGGCAAGGAGGACCAGGGGCCAGGAGAGACTACTGGTCTGGGGGACCACCACACAGGGAGGGGACCAACCCTGAGCAGGACACTGCAGAGGGGAGTAGCAGAGAGGCTAGGAGCTCGGAGGGAACTTGGAGCCAGGGGGCCAACCCCTGGAGAGCAGGGTGACAAAGAATGTTCCAGGACAGCCTTTTTTGTGGGCTTGAGTTAGGCTGGAAGTGGAGATGCTCTGAGAAGACCTTGTCCCTCTGCCCTGACTGGGTTTGGGGGCCCTACACCTCCTGCAGGATCTCAGGTGCCAAGCTCCTATGCAGAGATGTGTATGTGCACTGTGGAGACCCTGCTGTGAACTCTCCACTCCTCATCCCTCCTGTCTGCCTCCTCCCCTCCTTCCCTTTCCTGCTCCAGACATGGGTACCCGAGTCACACATAGGAGATTGGGATGTAGCCCTCCCCGGAAACCCAGTGAGAAAATGGTGGTGGGCAGATGAGATAGGAAGGCAGGACCCGTTTCCAGAGGAGAGAGGGGTCGCTCTTGCCTTGTGGTGCAGAGGCAGCACGTATGCATATGAATTGTGCTGGAAGAATACAGTAAGTGTGTGTTCATATGTATATATGTGCACACGTATGTGTGCGGATAAATGACCAGGGCTGGAGCTGCGGCTCCTCCCTCATCTTCCCCGTCCTAGTCCAGCCTGGACGGAGGCCTGGCAAGTGCTCATTTCCCTTGTGCTCTGAGCACTTCCTTTGCTTCACTACACACAAGCTCAAGGGCATCGAGGGGTGAGACCCTGGTAGCCCCAGCTTCCACCCTTCTCACTGATACACGGATCTGTGGGCACCTGCTGGGCCAGCTCTGACCTTGACTGCACCCCAGTACCCCAACACCATCACTGAGGGCTGGCTTCGGGCTTCAGACAGTCACTGCTGGGTCCTTAGAGAAAATGCCACTTGCCTAGTGCTGATTAGGAACACCTCTGAGGATGACAGCCAAGACTCCTGGGCTCAGCAGAGGGAATTGGACGTGTGGGCTTCCCACGGCAGGTGTGTGATGGATAGCAACATCCACCCAGGAGCTGCCCCTGACCTAGGTTCTGGGATCAAGTTAGGTGTGATTGTACATCATATTTTAATGAAGCTTTCAGTCAGTACAGTCAGTCCCGGGGGCACCAGCTGCACTCCAGAGACAGACCCACACTTGAATCTGGCCCCTGCCTCGTGACTCAGTATTGAATGGCGAGTGACTCACACAGGGACCAAGCACACGTTGCGTCAGCCTGGCTATGCTTTGGGGATCTGGCTGTGTTTACCTGTGTTGCTTTTCTCTCACTTCCCTGCCTGCATCCGTGTGGGTTAGAACCCAGGCAGCTCCAGGTATGCCAGGTGAGCACCATAGGTTTTGGCATTTTATTTTTAAAGATTATTTTTGTTTACTTGAAGGGCAGAAAGAGAAAGAAATTTCCTATCCACTGGTTCACTCCTCAGATAATTGCAAATGGGCCCTGATTGGTTAAAACTGAAGTCAGGAATCTGGACCTCTGTCTAGTCTCCCATCTGGGTGGCAGGGACCGAAGTGTTTGGGCCATCCTCCAAGCTTTTCCAGGCTCGTTAGTAGGAAGCTGGTTTGGGAGCAGAGTGTCCGGGATTCAAACCAGTGCTGTGTGATACAGGATGCTGGAATTACAAGTACTGTTTTTGTGGTTTTTTTTTAAAGATTTATTTTTATTGGAAGGTCAGATATACAGAGAGAAGGAAAGATGGAGAGATTTTCCATCCACTGGTTCACTCCCCAAGTGGTTGCAATGGCTGATCTGAAGCCAGGAGCCAGGAGCTTTTTCTCTGGTCTCCCACTTGGGTGCAGGGTCCTGAGGCTTTGGGCCATCCTTGACTGCTTTCCCAGACCACAGGCAAAGAGCTAGAAGGGAAGTGGAGCAGCCAGGATACAAACCAGTACCCATATGGGATCCCAGCACATGCAAGGCAAGGACTTTAACCACTAGACCCACAAATGCTGGTTTGACCCACTGCGCCATGCACCCTGGGTTTAGAGAACAGGGAGAGCCTGGTATGGGAGGGAAGCTTCTCTCTTTCTGTCTCTCCTGAGCTGCACAGGTACCAGAGACCTGAGGTCCTGTTACCTGTTGAATATAAGTGACACAAAATGAAATGGCAGGATGACCTACCTCCTGATGGGGAGCCAAGGGTCCACTTAGGGGTCCTAAGAGAGGGGTCACCGTAGGATGGCGCTGTCCAGCTCCAAATGGCTGGGATGGGCCTGGCCCCATGAGGGGAGGATCCCTCAGGCTGGAGATCAGGAAGGCAGAAGGAAAAAGTTGGACTCGCTGGGCCAGGACCCCTGGGAAAAGGACTTTTCCTCTTGGTCCTGAGCTGGACGGGCTCTCTGTGAAGAACCACAGGGCAGTCAGGGATCATCTTCATCCACCTGCTTAAGGCAGGTAAAGCATACAGCTAGCTCAGGAGGTGCTGCTGCATCAAACCCATTTCACAGGCC